GGGAGTAAAAAGGGAGGGTGTTGTGTGACCAATATGGCACGCCCACGATGGAGGGAGAGAGAAAGAAGTCCTTCACCTCCGGGATATGTTAATCCTATTATCATCCTCATCATCCATCCTTCCCCAATAAGCCGTGAACCCTCCCCTACAGCGTCCGGGGGCAAGACAATGCTCCCTCTCTCTCTCTCTACATGATAAAGTGCATATCAATACTTACAGTTCGAGACAGACAGATGTTCTTTATAAGGCAGAACACATTTGGACACAAAATACATACATACATACATATTTCATTAGCCCAATACATACATACATACATACAGTCCTGTTGTTTAATCTACCCACATCTTGAGCTAGTCGATTAAGTTGTAAGACGTTTGGGCCATGAACCTAACCTAACCTAACCTAACCTAACCTAACCAACGTCCGGTCACCAGCTGGTTCTTATAGCTCCTACGTCAAATAGATACAACTCATTTTGTGTGTAATATATCACCAACAACACTCACAACACAACACAACTCATAACAAAACAGCTCATAACTCACAAGACATTCACAGTACGACTCACAACACTGGCACCACTCTCAATTCACAACACCAATCACAACACAACTCTCAATGCACAACACAACAACACTCACCAACACTCATAACAACACTCACAACACAACACACTGCCTCAACAACAACACTCACAACACAACTACAACACTCCCATAACACTCACAACACAACAACCTCACCAACACTCATAACAACACTCACAACACAACACAACACTCAACACACAACACTCATAAGTCATAACACAATTCACAACACCTCCACAAGACAACTCAGGTTATAAGACAGGGAGGAGGTGGTGTGGGGAGTAACTTGACCGTGTTATCAGGTGAGGAGAGGGAGAGGGAGGGAGGAGAGGGAGGGAGAGGGAGGATGACTCATGCTTGCTGCAGGCTCCATCACGCGTCTTGATCTTCCTCCCTCCTCCTCCTTACCTCCCTCCCTACCCTCCCCCCTTACCTCCCTACCTTGCCTCCCTCTCGCTCTGCCCCAGCTTGCTTGTCTGACTGACCTCTTGGGCAGGACGATGTGGGAGGAGGGAGGAGGTGAAGGAGGAGGGAGGAGGGAGAGATGGGGGACTGGACGTGAAGAGGTGTACAGTGACTCGTGCCTGTACCTGTCCTGTGTGTGTGTGTGTGTGTGTGTGTGTGTGTGTGTTAAGAGAGGTAGGAGAGAGGTCAAATCAGCTGATACACACACACACACACACACACCCCTCCCGAGTGTCTGCGCTTGTATTGCTGTGTCTGCTGCATCTTGTCTGCGCTTGGTTGTGTAAACACCGACACACCTGATACACTGACACACCTGCACTAACACACGTACATAACACTTACACCGACACACCTGTACACTGACACACCTGACACTAACACACACAGCACTGTACACCTGTACACTAGCACACACACAGCTAGATAACACTCGGTGGTTCTGACACAATTGAAAACCTGACACTTCAATCTGTACTGACCATACTGAATTACCTGAGCTGATAACACACACTGCCTGTCTGATGCTGGTGGAGGGGGTGTGGAGGGTGTGGAGGTAGTGGAGGGAGTAGTGGAGGTGGTGGAGAGGAGGGTAGTGGAGGTGAGTGGAGAGAATGAGTGGAGGGTGTGGAGGTGGTGGAGGGTGGTGGGAGGAGTGGTGGAGGCGTGGAGGTGAGTGGAGGGTGGTGGAGGTAGTGGAGGGTGGTGGAGGGTGTGGAGGGTGTGGAGGAGGTGGAGTGGTGGAGGGTGTGGAGGTAGTGGAGGGTAGTGGGGAGTGGAGGTGTGGAGGGTAGTGGAGGGAGTGGAGGGAAGTGGAGAGGGTAGTGGAGGTGTGGAGAGGGTGTGGAGGGTAGTGGAGAGGTAGTGGAGGGGTGAGTGGAGGTGGTGGAGGGAGTAGTGGAGGGGTGTGGAGAGTGTGGAGGTGGTGGAGGTAGTGGAGGTGGTGGAGGGTGGTGGAGGGTGTGGAGGTGTGGAGGGTAGTGGAGGTGGTGGAGGTGGTGGAGGGTGTGGAGGGTGGTGGAGGTGTGGGGGTGGTGGAGGTGTGGGGAGGGTGTGGAGGGGTGGTTGGGGGGGTGTGGAGGGTAGGGAGGGGGTGGTGGAGGGTGTGGAGGATGATGGAGAGGTGAGTGGAGGTGGTGGAGGTGTGGAGGGATAGTGGAGGTGTGGAGGTGTGGAGGAGTGGAGGTGGTGGAGGGTGTGGAGGGTAGTGGAGGGTGTGAGTGGGTAGTGGAGGTGGTGGAGGGTGTGGAGGGTAGTGGAGGGTGGTGGGTGTGGAGGTGGTGGGAGGGTGTGGAGGTGAGAGTGGAGGGTAGTGGAGGTGTGGAGGTTAGTGGAGGGTGTGCAGAGGTTAAATATCTCAAATATTCTTGAAAAATAAAGTTTCCTCCTTCCTCATTCTTCATCTCCTCCTCCTAGCAGAACCCCTCCCTCTCCATCTCCCCTCCCTCCTAATCTACCCAAGTTGATTTAAAGCAAAGATTATCTACCCTAATCCACCCACCAGTACATTAATCCTCAACATGGCAACTCAACACACGTACCATCAACATTCAACATTGCAATAATCTAAAACATTATCATTCAACATTAAATTAGTTATACAAATTATCTGGAGTCAAATTGTATAAATGTATAAGTATTTTATTCATTATTTAATCAGAAATGTCTAAATATGTTTCGTTATGTTGTTTATTTAATTTATGGTGAAGGTTTCTGATTGGTGGCAACATGTTTGGGGTGTACAGCAAGGTGATTGGTTGGCAGATGAGCCGCGTCGCAGTGATTGGTCTTATTATTTACAGAGAAGCTGCTGATTGGTTGACATTTAAATTTTACTCTTTGTTTATTGTATTCGTTAAGTAGTTATATAGTTTACGTCTATGCAACCTAACCTAACCCTGTGGTGAGAGGAGAGGAGAGAGGAGAGAGGGAGAGGAGAGGAGAGGAGAGGAAGAGAGAGAGAGGAGGAGGGAGGAGAGGAGGAGAGGAGGGGCAGGAGGAGAGAGGAAGAGGGGGGAGAGGAGGAGGAGGAGGAGAGGGAGAGGAGGAGGAGGGAGGAGGAGGAGGAGGCAGAGGAGGGAGAGGGAGGAGAGGGAGGAGGAGGAGGAGGAGGAGGAGGAGGAGGCAGAGGAGGAGAGGAGAGGAGAGGAGAGAGAGAGGAGAGGAGGAGAGGAGGGAGAGGAGAGGAGAGGAGAGGAGGAGGAGAGGAAGAGGAGAGGAGGAAGCGAGGGAGAGAGGAGAGAGGAGAGGAGGAAGCAGGAGGGAGAGAGGGAGAGAGAGGAGGAGGGAGGAGAGGAAGCAAGGAGGAGAGGAGGAGGAGGGAGGGAGGAGGGAGGAGAGAGGAGGAGGGAGGGAGGAGGAGGAGGAGGGGAGAGGAGAGAGGGAGGAGGGAGAGGAGAGGGAAGGGAGGAGGGAGGAGGAGGAGAGGGGGAGAGGGAGGAGGGAGGGAGGCAAGGAGAGGAGGAGGAGGGAGGAGAGGAGAGCAGAGGAGGAGAGGAGGAGGGAGGAGGGAGGAGGAGAGAGGAGGGGGGAGGGAGGAGGAAGCAGAGGAGGAGGGAGAGGGAGAGGGAGAGGAGAGGAGGGAGGGAGGAGGAGGAGGGAGGAGGGAGAAGAGGGAGGAGGGAGAGGAGGGAGAGGGAGAGGAGAGGAGGGAGGATGTTTCAAATCCCAGTGTGGAGGAGGAGGGAGGGTGAGAAGGATCACTTAGCCTGCTGGAGTGCCCTCCGCTGATAACAGGAGATAACACATCAAGTCTTAACGTTATCTTAAGAAATTATGTTTGTTTTATGATCATAAAGAGTTGTTTGGTGGAGGGGGAGGGAGGAAGGGTCAGGAGGAGCGAAGATTGAGGAGAGTAGAGGAGGAGGTGTGGAGGAAGAGAAGAGAAGAAAGGAATTGGAGAACAGGGAGAGAGAGAGAAGGGAGAGGAAAGAGGGAGGGAGGGAGGAGGGAATCTCTGTGTGTAACGTGAGTCTCTCTGTCTACCCTATATCGTTGTGTGTGTGTGTGTGTGTGTGTGTGTGTGTGTGTGTGTGTGTGTGTGTGTGTGTGTGTACAGGCTCTCCCAAAATCTCTACCGAGAGAAATTACTGGAGCCTTCAGTGTGGTTCCTGTAGGCTCTTCCCCACCTGTGCACACACACAATGGTTTTATATTTACACTAGAATGAGACGGCAAGTACAAGGTGGCTAGGATGCGTCACAGGACAAGACGACGTGTATATAGCGAAGGATACTGTCGCAGGATGTGGTAGCGGTGTGGGGCTGCCAGTCATCCTTGAAGTTATCTCCACCATCCTACACACACACACACACACACAGGTGAATACTCACCCTCATATATGCACAAACACGTTATGACACATTGATAAACTAGTCCAACTAACACATCCACAGAAAACATCCACATAACACATCCACATAACACATCCACATAACACATCCACATGACCAAAAACAAGAATAACACTACAAGAACTGAATACCACTGAGAATTCCCATCTTGGATACGTATACCACTTGTGTGTGTGTGTGTGTGTGTGTGTGTGTGTGTGTGTGTGTGTGTGTGTGTGTGTGTGTGTGTGTGTGTGTAGTCGTGTGCATCAGACCAATAACAGCCCTCGTCCTGGTGTTCCTCTAGGCTGGGATCCTAAAATGTTTATGAGTCCGTAACTATTTTTTTATTCGTCCTATTTAATTTCTCATCCTTAACTGTTCATTAATCCGTAACCTAATCTAATCTAACGCTACCTGGGGGAATAGGTTAGGTTAGGTTAGGTTAGGTTAGGTTGTAATGTACGGTTCTCTAAAGGTTGTAACGGTGGTTGTAATTACTATTGTGTGTGTGTGTGTGTGTTGGATGAGGTATTGCAGGGGCCCCCCCTCTCTCTCTCTCTCTCTTCTCATTATTATTATTTTCATGACAATTTTCTTCACCTGACAGATTGTGTTGACGTTGATGATGAGCTCAGGTGAGTGTGGCTCCTTACCTGCAGATACCACCACCACCACCTACCGCCCAGGGTCACCCACCCCACCACCACTCACAGCCCAAGAGGTCACCACCCACCACCACTCACAGCCCACAGGAGGTCACCCACCCACCACCACTCACAGCCCACAGGAGGTCACCCACCCCACCACCACTCACAGCCCACAGGAGGTCACCCACCCCACCACCACTTACAGCCCACAGGAGGTCACCCACCCACCGCCACCCACTACCCACAGGAGGTCACCCACCCCACTACCACCTACCCACACGAGGTCACCCACCCCACTACCACCCACTACCCCACACGAGGTCACCCACCCCACCACCACCCACTACCCACAGGAGATCACCCACCCCACCACCACCACCCACCATCAACACCTTTCCCCCACAGAGTACCACCACAATACCACCATAACTCCTGACGAAGATAATGAGGATAAGTCTAACACCAACCATCCTATAGACACGACTACTGACGAAGGTGTCATCCATAACAGGGAGGAGACTACAGGAGACACGACGAATACCTCACACGAGACTGGTGGTGCAGGAGGCGGTAGTGAGTCATCGTCGTCTACTACCACTGCCGCAGGAGGAGATATGGGTGTTACAGCTCCTGCCAGGGTAGAATCTGAGGGACCTTCACCTCCGTCAGTAGAGAGCACTAGCTGTAGCACCTCACACCAGGACGTCGGGAGGAGTAGTGATGATGGTGTTGGGAGACCTCACAGTCCCTCTCACATCCCTCCTCGACCTCCTCACATCCCTACAGCGCCCCAGATAAACGACAGGATCGGTACACACGCTGGCCAGGACCCGGGAGATGTGTCGACCCTTCCTCAACACACACACAGACACACCACCCTCACAGCTCTAGTAAGTAAGACCTATAATGTTCCTTATGTGTTATAGGTGATTATATTAAATTATATAAACGTGATATATAATTCAGGGTGTTTGGGAGGTGTTAAGTCAGCCTCTTGGATTATTATTTTTTCGCTTTATCTTTAATGATCATTTATGACCTGTTGGTATATGCTCTCTCTCTCTCTCTCTCTCTCTCTCTCTCTCTCTCTCTTTATCACGTTACTATCCCGCCTGTGACCTTCAATCAGGCTGTAATACAAGGGGCGTGTTGGTGTGTGTTTCAGAGCGAACGTCTGGCGATGGGAAAGCCAGTCAAGCGTAAACTGTGGCAGGTGAACCACGAACAGGTGAGATGACCTCCTACTCCTCCTCCCTCCTCCTACTCCTGCTACTCCTACTTCCTCCTCCTACTCCTGCTACTCCTACTTCCTCCTCCTACTCCTGCTACTCCTACTTCCTCCTCCTCCTCCCTACTCAGTGTTCTTCTTCTTTCTCCTCCTCCTCGTTTTCCTCCTTTCTCTTGTTACCTCTTCTTCCTTCTTTCTCTTCTTCCCCCCTCCTACTTTTCTCCCCCTCCTCCCCTCCTCCTCCTCCTCTGTTAACCCTCACCTCCTCCCCCCCATATAAATACAATCTTATGCGGTTTAACTACATTAATGAGGTATTAAATCACATTGAACTTACAAATAAAACAAATAAACCAAAATAATGATGGGTTGGGTTAGGTTAGGTTAGACGCTGAACTAATACCATAACCCACCTCATTCAAATCATCTTGTATCATATATCTACCTGTCGTTAATTAATGATATCACAGGTGTCAATAAACTAATATAACTTCCTCAGGTAACAGATATTAATAAATTGTCAAGGTTTATTTTTTTACACAAATGTATTTTTATCGTCCCCCCAAAAAACATGAATTTCTTGTGTATTTTTTTTACTTTTATTCTTTTTCGTTGCGTAGTTGCACGGTTGAGTTCATCGCCTCTCAACCACAGCCCCCAGACGTGGTTGTTGCAGCTGCTGTTGCACGCGGTGATCTGTGCTACCTAACATCTGCAACCTGTCCTACCTAACCTCACACACACACACACACACAGGTCACTAGGGGTCATTCACAGGTCACCAGGTAACACACATGTCACCAGGTAACACTCACACAGGTCACTAGGGGTCATTCACAGGTCACCAGGTAACACACAGGTCACCAGGTACAAGTCACCAAATAAATGTATCCTTAGGTCAGGTAATAAAGGTATAGACGTCTAATGTGTCTCTCTCTCTCCTCCCCCCCTCCCCCACCCCCCCCCCTCCCCAACAGGTGAAGGAGGAGCTGGAGGAGGAGCTGGTTCGAGTGGAGGAGGAGGAACAGAGAAGATTTCGCACCAGGTGGAAGGAGATCAGTCCGGAATACACCCTTAATGGCCCAACTTTCTACTACAGCAAGGTGAGTGTTGCTGCTGGTGTCCTCGTCCCGTCCACCCTAACGCACTCTAACGCACTCTAGCACTGTCTAACGCGATCTAACACTGTCTAGCGCACTCTAGCACTGCCTAACACACTCTAACACTCCCTAACAGTCCCTAACACACTCTAACACATCCACACACTCTTTTAACAGTCCCTAACACAGTCTAACACACTCTAACACAGTGTGATATCCCCTAACAGGAGGAAGGGAAAGAAGAGGGAGGAGGAAGGGAGGAAGGGGACGAGAGAGAGAGGAGAGAGAGGGGGGGGGAGGGGGAGAGAGAGAGAGGGGGGGAGGGGAGAGAGAGAGAGAGAGAGGGGGAGGGAGAGAGAGAGAGGGGAGGGGGAGAGAGAGAGAGGGGAGGGGGTGAAAGAGAGAGAGAGGGGGAGGGGAGAGAGAGAGGGGGGAGGGGGGAGAGAGAGAGAGAGGGGGAGGGGAGGTAGGAAGGGCACTATATTCCATATGAGAATGACCATGCAGAGAGGTCATAGGTGACGCCCACCCACACGCCCACCCCACACGCCCACCCCACACATGCCCACCTGACACACTTCCCACCTCTTCCTTGCATGGTCTCACACACACTAGACACATGACTGACAGAGAGAGAGAGAGAGGTGGCCAGGTGTGGTAAGGAACGCCCCTAAAACACCTGTTAATGATGTGAACCTTCTTCATGTACCTGTAGCAACACCCTCCTCCACCCTCAACACCCTCCTCCACCCTCAACACCCTCCTCCACCCTCAACACCCTCCTCCACCCTCAACACCCTCCTCCACCCTCCTCCACCCTCAACACTCCCTGTAGGTCTAACTCCACAAAACACACTTAGGTAACACTCAACCTCCAGTACTCTGAGGTCGACCTTCAGTAGCTGCGAGACATAAAGCTGACCTCCACTGATGAGAGGTAAAAGAAGGTCTACCTCCAGTAAACTGAGGCCGACCTCTCGATGTTGGCCTCCATCTACCATAGGCCTATTACCCATACCCCAGCCTATGGACCATCCCACACTATCAGTTAATTACCCAACGACCTTTTTTAAAATGTGCTCTCTTGGGGGTACTGTAGGGGGGGCAGGAGGAGGAGTGAGGGGCAGGAGGGGAGGGAGGGGCAGAAGAGGGAGAGAGAGCCCAAGGTGCCAGTGAGGGGCAGGAGGGGGAGGAGGGGCAGGAAGGCAGAGAGCCTAGGGGTGCCAGAGGGGCATATGTAGAGCCTAAGGTGCTGTTGAAAGTGGGAGGGCAGGAAAGGGAGAGCCTAGGGTGCCAGGGAGGGGCAGGAAGGAGGATGAGGAAGGGCAGAGCCTGGGGCAAGGTGATTGAGAACATCCTGCAAATAAAAACAAAATAAAACAGACACACGCTATTATACACACACACACACACACACCCATCCAGGCACCTCACACACACACACACACACACCCATCCAGGCACCTCCCCTCACACACACGCATGACATACAATTCCATCCAGGCACCCCCCCTCACACACACACGCACACACACACACCCATCCAGGTACCTCACACACACACACACACACCCATCCAGGCACCTCCCCACACACACACACACACACACACCCATCCAGGCACCCCCCACACACACACACACACACCCATCCAGGCACCTTCCCCATGCACACACACACCTCTTCTTACACCCCTCACACACCCATCCAGGCACCTCCCCACGCACACACACACACACCCATCCAGGCACCTTCCTCACGCACACACACACACCCCACACCCCCACACACCCATCCAGGCACCTCCCCACACACACACACACCCCACTCTCACACACCCATCCAGGCACCTCTCACACACACACACACACACACACACACACACACACACCTCAGCCACCTCTCACACACACACACACACAACACAGGTTTATGCCCCGCCTCGCTTGTCGATACCTAGGAGGCTAATGTGTCTGTCTGTCAAGGTAATAGGAACCATTTAAATTAGGAAAAACACAAACCGCTTGTCATCCTGGTGAAGGGAGGTGATGTGTTATGAACCTGTAGGAGGAGGGAAGGAAGGAAGGAGGGGGAGGGAGGGAGGGGAGGGAGGGAGGAGGGAGAGGGAAGAGGGGGAAGGAAAGAGAAGGAAGAAAGAAGTAACGAATTTGCACAGATTTTTTCTCTATCTCCATCACAACAGCCCCTCTCTCTCTCTCTCTCTCTCTCCACACACATGGGTCATTGGCCACTAAAAGCGACAACACCACATCTGTCTAAGACTCTAGTATGTGCGTTATGAGATACGTGTACACAGCTCAGTGTTGGTTACTGCCCCTCTCATTCCCCCTCACCCCTCACCCCCTCCTTCTCACCTCTCCTCCTCTACCAGTGACATTACCCACATGAATCTGACCTCTATACATTTATAGCTGTTAATGAATATGATGTATTTCTTCGTGTATGAACCTCTGTCCTGCGTGGCAGTGAGAAGTGACATTACCCACATGAATCTGACCTCTATACATTTATAGCTGTTAATGAATATGATGTATTTCTTCGTGTATGAACCTCTGTCCTGCGTGGCAGTGAGAAGTGATACCACCCTCAGTGTCAAGACCTGACTGGATTACTCAGAATAGGCAAACTGTACTACAAGCTTTGCCAATAAATTTGTTGAACTAAAAACTCCTACACCTCCTTCCACTCCCCCCTCCCTCCCCCCTCCTCCCTCCCCTCCCACCCCCCTCCTCCCTCCTTCTCCCCCTCACCCCAGCTGCCCGCCATTGCCCTGAAGTAAATAAACAACTCGTGGTGGTTTAGATAACAAGTAATGAGCAGACACAGAGTTCCTCCTATTATGTGCTATTGAATTACTAGCAGCAATCTCTACTATCTATGTACTATATAAATACTAGTAAGAGTTGCTAGTACCCGCGTTTCTGTTTCATTATTAGTACTTGAGTATCTAACCTAACCTAACCAAACGTCTTAATACTGCAGAAGGAATTGTAGCCTCGTCAGTAGCTTTCAGTGATATCGTTTTTGTCCTTCTTCAGGTTGTGACAGCGAGAGGTGAAACGGTAATACCTGGTCGGCCGGTGTGTAGTGCCCCTTCTGCCTCGCCTCCCGGAGATATGAAGCTAATTCACCGAGAAGCCAAAAGACGTAGAATCCAATCGCCACCATTTCCTCCTGTAGAAGAGTCTACTGTCTCTCAGGACGTCACCGGCAGGATACTTCGGTCTACTCCTGAAGACTCTCAACGACATAGGCCATCACAACCAAAGATTTCTCCTCCTCCTCCTCCTGCCGAAGAAGTCACCGAGACACACGTCAGTACTCCTGTTACTTTCTCAGGGCACGTCAGCGAAGTAACATCAGAAAGGACGACCTGTAGTGTGGCCTCCTCCTCCTGCGCCTCCTCCAGAAGTAATAACAAGGATGCCTCAGGCCCTTCAGAATCCCCCTGTAATGACGAAGGGGCTTTAAAAACCATCAAGAGCTCTAGTAACGTCGTCGCCTCCTACAGCAGTAAGGCTGACGGTCAAAAATGTAGGGAAACTCCCCCACACAGCACTACAACAACGCCTGATGACAGCAGAATAACAGGAGAAGCCACAACACCTCCAGCGCCTCCTTCAGGTACACCTTCACCAGACGTCACCACCCCGAAACAAACCCTCGACTTGTCCACATCGTCTAAGTCCTCCTCGGGCGTGTCTTCGGCAGAGTCAACGCCCTCAGAGGATGTCACGCCCACGCCCTCGGAGGATGTCACGCCCACGCCCTCGGAGGATGTCACGCCCACGCCCTCGGAGGATGTCACGCCCACGCCCTTACAGGAGACGAGGGTAACCCGAAGGTCCTCCAGGCAAGACCGTATGAGGAGACAACAGAGACCAGGAGACACCCCCAGGAGATATTTAAGAATGTGATCTACCATTAAGTAACCCTGGTTAAGAAAGTCAACGAGTGGTGTAGTTTGTATTCTTCTATCTACCTGTCACGTCTACCTATCATATATATCTACTTGTCACATTACAGGTCTATCTACCTGTCATATATATCTACTTGTCACATTTGAGTGTTACACCCTTCACAGCTTTCCTTCATGCCTGGTCACAGTTTTCATTTTATAATTTTCTCACAATTTGAATAGTTTTTAGTGAATGCATTCGAATAATTTACGATTTTTACTCCTACTTTTTACAATTAATAGTTTTTAGTGAAAGTATTCCAATATTTTACAAAGCCAAAAATCAAAACGATGGCTACAAAGACTTTTAAAAACGGTGTTACTTTCCAATAATGTTTGTTAGGAGAGATGAAACTAACAGTGTTAACTTATTACATGTTAAAAAAATAAATAAACAAATTGTTAACTTAGAAATTATCAGAAACTTTCAATATATTTTACTTAATGTTTGAAAAATAAATAACAGATTCTATATAACTTTTCTTATTACTACTTTCACTACTTTTAATATATATTTTAACCACCAATATTTTTACTTACAATAAATTTTAATGATTATTGGTTTTGCTGTAGAATGTGTGTATGCTTGTCGTATAAGAACAACATTGTGTGTGTATGTTTGTAATAGAACAACAACATTCAACATTGTCCTTACTTGCTTATGGGAGACATTCACAAACAACAAGTAACAAACACACACACACACACACACACACACACACACACACACACACACACACACACACTATTTATAAACAAAAATGGTATATTTTTTTTTACACAACCCTGATTTATGATAATTTTGGTTAGGTTAGGTTAGCTCCATGTGTTGTTAACTTAATTGTATGGGTTTAGTCATTGGTTTAAGCTGTTGTATTTTATTGTAGTGTATTTTATTGTATTGATGTCGTAGTGTATGAGTCAGGTTCATATTACTGGATATTGTATTCGCTGTTGTATTATGTACTGTATTGTTGTTGTATTATATTTCATTTGATTTTATTGCTATTGTATTGTAGTGTAGTGTATTGCATGGTGTATGGGTTGAGTCAGGTTCACATTACTGTATATTGTATTTCCTGCTGTATTATTTACTGACCTGATTCAATGCTTTATATTACTGTATTTTTTGTGAGCAGTTGTGTCTATGTATGTATATATGTATGTATGTATGTATATGACTGTTGTATGTTGTGTATGAGTGATATGTATGTATGTATATGTGTGATGTATGTTATGTATGAATGATATGTACGTATCTTATGTATATATGTATGTACAAGTACGTATGTTGTGTCTGTATGTGTTGTGTAAGTATGTTGTGTATATATATTATGTATGAATGTGTACAAGTGAACGAGTTAATAATACACAAATTATCTTGGTTTAACTCTGTCAAATATTACTAATAAATACTCCAATACAATCTTCCTCTCACCTCTTTGGTCAATACTCGGTTTAGGTCGAAATTCTCTCGATCATTACTGGCATTTATCTCCATTTAAATCTTACTAAAACTAATTCCCAAACTAATTTTATTCATGAAATTCAAATTAAAAAAATATATTATAATATTTTTACTACAGGTGATAAATTCCTATACCCAAGCCTTTAATTTATTACGATATAATATGTTTTTAATTGTGACAGATAAATTTATGCCAAAAAACCTTCGCTAGTTATGACAAATATATGACAAAAACTTTCACTACTACTGTTACTATCTGTACTGTACTACAAGACAATGACATCATGGCAGTTTCATCACGTACAGTAATTATCAACGTCAACAAAAAAATTTACACTTGTCTAACTTAAAATTTAGAGAAAATATATAAATATACACCAATTACCTTGACTTATGATGACTTATAAGAGAGAGAGAGAGAGAGAGAGAGAGAGAGAGAGAGAGAGAGAGAGAGAGAGAGAGAGAGAGAGAGAGAGAGAGAGAGAGAGAGAGTCAATGTTCTAAGATGTCTCCCTCGGCGCCTTTCAATTTTAATAAATGACCAAATTAGAGAAAGCTCACAAAAGCCACAGACAATAACAGATGATGGAAGGAGGAGGGAGGGAGAGAACACACCTACTTCTCTCACAGGTATACAGGTGAGGGAGGGAAGGACCCCACCCCTCTCTATTAGATACGATTTCACGCCCATTTCCCCACCTGAACAACACACACACCCTATGACCCTGGACTCCCATAAAGGTCCCTGATCTTAAATTTTCCTCTTAATTGGAAAGGTAAGGAGGCAGGACATCCAAAATGGCGTCAGAATTACACTGAGACTCTTACCTTAATTAGATAACATTCACATAGCACCAGGTAGGATAGGTGTGTGTGTGTGTGTGTGTGTGTGTCCCAGGGTTTAGGGAACACACACGGGTATAATTGACGAGAGAGAGAGACCTTTACCTAGGAATCCCAGTCACCCTACTCCTCCCGCCCAGCCTATACTGATGCTGGGTGCTAGGAGGAGTAAGAGATACTAGCTGCTAGGCGTACCAAAGACTACAACTAGAAATAATACCTCATGCGTTTTGCTAGCTACTCACCTGAGACTAAACAGGTAAATTTATCTTGCTAGCTAAATAATCCAGGTATTGCTAGTCATTATCTTCACTATTTTATTCACGTCACTTCATTCACCTGTGTTCGTTCATAATTTGCTATCCTCCTTCATTCATCAGCCAAGAGGGACTCATTCACGTCAGGTTATTCATAGACTCACAAGAGTGTAGTAAATTCATTCATTCATTCAGTATATACACACACACACACACACACACACACACACTAGACCAGTACACTGACTCACCCAGAAAACATTCATACAGTGACTCACAGTAAATGACTCACTCTTAGTCACGACACTATATTGGGACAAATTATTTACCTTAATTTCAAAGTTTTTTTTTTATAAATTGTTTAGTTAATAATAATAATAATAATAATAATAATAATAATAATAATAATAATAATAATAATATAATGTTAATAATAATAATATAATGTTAATAATAATAATATAATGTTAATAATAATAATACAATGTAATGTAATGTTATTGTTGATGAGTTAAGTATTTCGTTAATTTACGATAGTCTGTCTGTCTGTCTGTCTGTCTGTCTGTCTTAGTTCCTGAGACAGAGATCATGTTATTATTACATAGATGCTTGTAGGAAGGAGGTAGTAGTAGTAGTAGTAGAGGGAAGGAGAAAAGTAAAAGCAGTAAGTAGTGGAGGTAGCAGAGGACAAGGAGGTAGTAGGAGGAGGTAGAGGAAGTAGAGGTCACCAGCAGGAGGTAGAGGTAGTAGAGGTCACCAGCAGGGAGGTAGAGGAAGTAGAGGTCACTTGCAGGAGGTAGAGGTAGTAGAGGTCACCATCAGGAGGTAGAGGAAGTGAGAGGTCACCATCAGGAGGTAGAGGTAGTAGAAGTCACCAGCAGGGAGGTAGAAGTAGGGAGAAGTCACCAGCAGGAGGTAGAGGAAGTAGAGGTCACCAGCAGGAGGTAGAGGTAGTAGAGGTCACCAGTAGAGTAGAGGTCAACAGTAGGAGTGTAGAGGTCACCAGTAGGTGTAGAGGTAGTAGAGGTCAACAGTAGGGAGGGGTAGAGGTAGTAGAGGTCACCAGTAGGAGGTAGAGGTCACCAGGTAGGGAGGTAGAGGTCACCAGCAGGAGGTAGAGGTCACCAACACACTGGCTCCTCTATACACCATTATTATACTATACTCAGAGGGACTCATCCTGTTCCCCTTATTTTGGCAACAAGCTTTAAGTGTGTCTGTCCGAGTGTCTGTCTGTCTGTCTATCTGTCCGTTTTCTGTCTGTCTGTATGTCTGCTTGTCCGTGTTTCTGTCTGTGTCTGCTCATATTGCTTCTATTTATTTGTCGTGTGTGTGTGTGTGTGTCTGTCTGTCCGTCCATTTAAATCTTGTCTGTCTGTCTGTCTATTGAAATCTTGTGTGTCTGACTGTCTGTTTATATTGATACTATTTATATATATTTCCATGTAATTTGTCTGTCTGTCTGTCTGTCTGTCTGTCTGTCTGTAATACCAATACTAAACTAACTCTTTATGTAAATTATATTAAAAAGTTTCTAATAATTTCTATACCATTTATATCACTTTTTCTAAACCTGTGAAAATTGTTTAAAATTATCGTAAAAAAAATAGGCTTTAGTAATTTGGTTTATTGTAATTGTGAAGAAAAAATAATAATGATAAATTGTTATTGTTGTTTTGTTATTGTTGTTTTCCTGCTGTGATTGGATACATACATACATACATACATACATACATACTCTCTCTCTCTCTCTCTCTCTCTCTCACCGTCACACCACCGAGGATGGGACTCAGGTGCCGCCCTTCCGTCCACCTCACCAACCCTCAAATTTCTATCTTTTTTTTTTTACCAATCTAATTCCCTCTTCTAAACCTCTAATTCAATTTCAAAAACTCTTAGATTACTTTTAAATGTGTGTGTGTGTGTGTTTTTTTTTTCGGTGTGTGTGTGTGTGTGTGTGTGTGTGTGTGTGGGAATGTTAGAACGCGACAGGTGCACAACTCTCTCACACACATGGGCCGTGTGACTCATCTCACTGTCTGTCTACAACTATTACGTCATTATTATATAGTTTTAGTGACGTCACGTGAAGCTATGACGTCACGTGGAGGTGTGACGTCATTTACAGCAAATATTAGTGTGTTAATACAGTAATGAACCAGAGGTGTGAGACAGGTGAGATAGTGAGACTTAGAGACAGGTGAGACAGTATGAGTGCGACAGGTGAGACAGACAGGTAAGACAGATAGTCGTCAACACTCGTTGTACTGGGATTAAAAAAAAAGACTCGTACTTTATATCTCCCAGGACGAACAACGATGACCACCCTGTGAGGTAATAATTACTGTCTTCACTCAACAGTGTGTCTCTTTGTCTGTCTGTCTGTCTCTCTCAACCATTGTCTCTTTGTCTGTCTCTCACAACCATTGTCTCATTGTCTCTTTATATAAGGTCCAGTTTTTACCCCAGGACGAATACTATTATATAAGACAAGAGATAAAACGTATTATATTTCCCAGGACGAATGAGGCAGATTTTTTCCCCAGGACAGACAAAATAAAAGTATTTTCCATGTTTTTTTTCCACAGGATGGAAGACATAATAAGAAACTTAACTATTTCTACTCCCAGGACGAACAGTATAAGGGAATGATAGGTAAATTACTATTCCCAGGATGAACTACAGTATATCTTTTTTTTCTCTCCAGGATGAACGACATATAGGGGAGGCCCTGAGGGACTTTTTTCCCAGGATGAAGGAGGTGAGAGGGAAGGGGCCATATAGGGTAATCTTAGCGGCGTAAATTTGACCGGAAGTTACTGGCGTGCTCGAGGCTACTGCCCCTCCTACCCATCATCCTGCTCTGATTGTGGGAGAAGTAGGAGGAGGAGGGGGTGCAAAAGGAGGAATGGAGTGGAGGGAATGGAGATGGAGTAAGAAGTAATGGTGGGAGAAAAAGAGGACAAGAGTTATGGAGGAGGAGGAAGGTGGCGGTTAAAGTCTTCTCTAATTATGGAGGAGAGAGAGAGAGAGAGTCTCCCAAGTTAAAACACAGGTAAGAACATACCTCTCCCCTCCTCAATCCCTCCTCCCACTCCCTACTCCTCCTCTTCTTCCTCCCTTCTTCCTCCTCCTCCTCCTGTGGTCACACCAGCGCCAGTAATCACGAGCGGAAGGAACTACCAATTGGACTGGTGGAGAACGATGCGGGTACCAACTTCCTCGACGTGTCAATGTCCAGCCAGCGTCCACCCACTCGACCCACCCAGCCCACTACCAACCCACCCAGCCCACCCATCATTAACACTACCATCACCACCACAGTATACTGACCCCATCAACCTTGCTAGTATACTGACCCCATCAACCTTGCTAGTATCTGACCCCATCAACCATGCTAGTATACGGACCCCATCAACCTTGCTAGTATACTGACCCCATCAACCTTGCTAGTATACTGACCCCATCAACCTTGCTAGTATACTGACTCCATCAACCTTGCTAGTATA